GACACCTGTAATTTTTGTTTCTTTTTTAGATCTTTATGAAAACACAGACATTACCAATCTCTACCTGGTCAAATCAAGTCCAAAGTCTCAGTATTATTCCATGAAGTTTTATTCTGAAGTTATGTATCCATCAATGCAACATTTGCCTGATGCTGTGAGGTAAACAGTCCCAGCATGGGACTAGTGAACTAGAATAAATAAAGATAGAACATGAAAGAGCATCTTATGTTATGCTACTGACCTGATGTTGCTCCTGACAATTTTTCCTCTATATTTTACTTGATTCCATTATTAAAAAGCTTTGCACAAGAAACAGAAACCCAAACCCTAATAAAAGCAAGAAAAGCAAACATTTATGCTATGGAGTCATTTCATTAAGATGAAGACTGAGATTACAGTTTATAAATGATAGGTAACTTTTTGTAAATAGGAGTAGTAATTGACTTGAATAATGCTTTAGGATATTTGTCATGGATTTAACAATAGTCAGTTAATTTTTCAAATAAATATGAACCATAAAAACACTGTGATATTTTAACAATGGTTTTTTAAAAAATTTATATTAATTCAGATTATTTATACCGATTACAAAATCAATAACTTTAAATAAATAAAACTAATTTATATCAAAATAGCTGGCTGGGGAATTCTGGGAGTTGAAGTCCTCCAGGCTTAAAGTTGCCAAGGTTGGACACCCCTGTATTAGAGGTCTCTGCCAATAAAAACAACTTCCAAAGTTTGATTATAAATGTAATTTAGATCACAAGAGGCATATTTAAGTTAAAGTAAAATGAAAAGCAGCAGCTGCAAAGGCAAAAATTCAAAGAACAATTTCTAAACAATAAAAAATAAAAAATCAGAAATCAGGATAAATGTAAACCTTTTTTGAGTGCTACTTAATAATATGAAAATGTCAACATATTCCTGTTACGATAATCCTCAAATTCCATAAGCAGTTAGGGCTGAATTTTCCATCACTAACTGATGCAATCACAAAGCATGATGCTTGTGACCCTGTGGCTTAGCAACTGTAATTCTAGCAGTCTCAGTTGCCATCATTATGTGAGGACTGCACAGAACATTGAGCAAGAACCTCCTGTGATCACAGCTTCCAACTTCCTGACTTTGCTTGCAGGAAGCTGATAGGAAACATCATAAATTATTATCACTGTATAGATTCTGCAATGGCTGGAACTCTGAGGACCAGTCATTTAATACTGTTATAACTTTGGACGGTCACTAAATAAATGGTTGTAACCTGAGGACTACCTGTATATCACTCCAGTCTTCATCAGGTAGGCCTCCCCAGACTTGTTTGCCAATTACTAGAATGACCATCTCTGTTCACAACATTTAAACTCTACAATGAAAAGAACCTCTTGACTTAGGAACAGCTCTATTTGACCTAGTCAGGTCCAACATTAATTTGAAGACAAAAATATTGGGGGAGGATATTTTTTTCCCTACAGACCCATCAACGGTGAATTGATAAGCCTGAGAAACTGATATTTCTCCTGAAACTTCCTTTAAATCAAAAATATTAAAAGAACCCAACCCCACCTCCATACTGCTACTTTTTAAAATGAAATTACCAGATTGTACTGAACTGTACTTAAGAAAGTGAAGGAGAACTGGCTTAATAATGAAACCTTTAAAATAAATTTTGAACTGTTCAAAATACAGTAGACATTCAGGATCTACCTCTGTGCAAAAGAAAATGCCAAAATGATTGTTTTGTCCCTTTTTAATTTTTAAAAAATTCTTCTAGGAAAGGAAATAATCAGACTTCATCAATATATGGCTGTTCCAACATTTTTGAGATCATTTACAGGTAACATTAAAATTTTAAAGAATGTTCATTAAATAAATTGTTTCATGAGCAACTAATCATGATTAGTCTTCACAATGTCAGTGTTTTTTCTGTAATTTGTTTTAACTTTTTTTTTTATTCAGAAGATTAAAATACAAAGTACCAAAAGAAAAAAATACTGTGTTTCACCCAAAATAAGACCCAGACTTATTTTCTTTTGGGCCCCAAAATAAGCACCAGGTCTTATTTTTGGGGAATGTCTTACTCGCTTACTTAGGACCACTGCAGCCAGGCTTCTCATTCCCTGAGACATGTTGGGCTGCTGCTCGATATCTTCTACAGCCACTCACAGCCACCGTATGACTCATCACGCCAAGGTCACCTTTCGTGGCAGGAAGCTGCATGGCACTGATGCTGCCACTCGCAGCAGGAGGCTGCATGGCATGTTGTGCCATTGCATGCATGAGCAGCAACACCGACACGATGAGCCACACCATCTCCTGCTATGAGTGGCAATACTGGCGTAATGTGCCATGTGGCATCCAGCCACAAGCAGCCTCAGAAGAAGTCAATCAGCAGCACAACAGGTATTGGAGCATGGGTGGCCTGGCTACAGCGGTCCTAAGGTAAGTAGGTGTAGGGCATGTTGGGCAGCTCCACACACCCCACTCCCACCCTAGCTTAATTTTTATACATGTGCCTCACCCCACCTCATACAACCAGAGAGTGGGATGAAGTGGGCAGGGCTTAATTAGGGCTTATTTTGGGGTAGAGCTTATATTAGGCACAGGTGTCAAAATCGGGCTAGGGCTTGTTTTCAGGCTAAGTAATTTTTGGGGGAAACATGGTATTAACAGAGACAAAAAAAAACCAAGAATGATAAAAAAATCTGAAAAGAACAAAAGACAAAAACACATGTCCCCACTAGTTGAACATTGACAAATCTATTGCAACAATAATAGCTTCCCCCTTTGCAAAGCAGGTCCAAAATTTATAAGCTTCTACATCTATTTGCAACCCAATTGACTAATTGATTCATTGCATATATAAAGGAAAAAATAGTTAACAGGTTAAACAACAGCAAAGTTAACATTCAAGGCACTCTGTTAACAGTCTGTTTTTATCATTTACTCACAGAAAGTCTACACAGTTTCTTATTTACCATAAATCACCCCAAATGTTATCTTATCTATCTCATTATTGTCCAGAATCAAATAGCCTCATTTGACTTTTATTAATAAAACCTTTCCTTAGGCATCTCATTTTCAAAGTTCATGGGTTTCTGTTGTGCAACATCCATTGTTGAAACATTCTCCTTGAAAACACTACAATTCCCTTACCAAGGAAGTCCAGTCCATCCTTTATCAATTTCATTGTCTCAGAATTTCTTGTATTTATATTCCTTTCAATCTTTTCTGGCAGGTTTGTATTTACCAAACCAAGTACATTTGATAGCAATAGATCAGGTTTTCGCCCAGTTGCAAATAAGCCCAACTGTTATTTCCTACTTTTAAATATTGTCTTGAGTTTGCACATCTGTTAATTGTTATTATACATAAACAATTTTTTCTTTATATATAAAATAAAACCTGCAAGTTTCAAATAAAGCCTTCAAGTAAGATAACATTCTTTTTTTGAATGCTTCCCAGAAAATCCATCTCCTTTTAGAAACATTTGAGAAACCCACTGTTCTTTCTTTAAGGACAAGAGAAGCACATCAGGCAAAGCCCAGTATCCACAAGGAAAGGGATTTTTCTTCCCCCAGAATAAAAAATGATTAAAGAAAGAAATTTCCCATCAAAAAATTAAGAAATAAATATCAATGCTTTAAAAAAAAAAGCTAGGAAGAGCAAAATTTATAACATAATCCTGTATAATTGCAAGTCCAATTGAATGACTTTCACAGCCAAAAAAATTTATTTTCATCACAAACCTCCTTATAGCTAAAATGAAAGTAGTTTGGAAATGAATAGAATAGAATAGAATAGAATAGAATAGAATAGAATAGAATAGA